ATAATCTTCAGTGCGTCTTCAGTCATTAAAGGATTCAACAGTGAAACTGACTATGGGGACGTTTAGTCCGATTTGGCATAAATCAACGATTTTTGTTGTTGCCAGTGTAGTTGTTTGCACGTCTTCCTTGCGGGACTTAAACCGCTGTTTATGAATAAGAAGTAGGAACCAGAAACTATTTTAATGATTGTTTCGATGTCTGGTATCAAGAGCCTCATCATTATTCATCTTTTACCTTGGGCGGAATAACTTTTCAGACGTATGAGTTGGATTTTCTTTCAAGGGCTCATATATGGCTTTGTCCCTAAATTCAAAAGTTTCAAAACTACAGTGCATGGCCGCTTATGATGAAGCGGTCAATTTCGTTCTATTGTTTTAAGTTTATGAGTGATAATAACGTTCCATTTTGAACATCGTCTTTTCAGTGGGAGGCATTAGTGAAATCTTTGCAATATATGGGGGAGCTATTCTTCTCCATCTTGGCCATTCATTCATAAAACTATTCATTCAAAATCTAGAGTAATATTATTTGCGGTGTTACCTTCATTATTAGCGTAAACCTAAGTCCCAAACTTATCAGATATGTTTACTTTTGGTTTTGAGAACTGCCACCGAATGTGATGACGAAATAGTAGTCGCAACAACGGTAGCTTGAGAGATGATATATTCGGTAAAGCCTGAGGATCTCTAGAAAAGTTACCTTGAAATTTTCTTTTTCTACTTGATTGCCGTATTGCACTTCCCTGTACTTATGAAGCTCGAGTGTACAGGCCAACTGCCCCATGTATTAATTTCAGTTTGAAAAGACATATAGAGGCTCTTATGTTAATGGATTAAAGTAAAACACGGCTAGAAGTATAGAATAGGTGTAGGTGAAGTGTGCATAGTAGATGAAGCTTTCGAAACCCAAAACGGTGTTACTTCTTAGCACAAAATATAACGTGCTGAACGTAATGTGCTAACAAGATTTGCTGAAGGAACACCGTTTTGAGTTCCGAAAGCTTCACCTACTCTTGTTTCATTCCAGGCATCTATTTCAGTATTCTGTCACTTTTGAATCATGATTGGCCATTGCCGGGTGGACTGTATCAGTTATGCCACGTGTCGTGAATGGTAACGTAGTCTCCACATTTCAACACTGACACATAATCGCTTATATTCAAGTGCTATTCCCATTTCAACAAATTTTTGGATAAGTTACCATGTTCACTTTGACAAGTGTTTGGGCTATGCCGGTTGCATTTCCGTTTTTTGCATGCCTGGAGACGAAGCACTGCATGAAGCGACTCATTCTTCCAGCATTTCTAGAAACATCCCTCAGTACTCTTCCCCGAAAGATTGTCTATGACGAGCATTAACTGAATAATGAGTTACTAATATTTTGCTACACATGACTTACTCATGTTTTGCTTCCACTCAATGGCCATTCAATTCAGAAAAAACTGCTTTTATCATTCTAGTTGGTTAGAGGAGCAGCGGGCTTGCAGTAGTGGTCGCAATGGTCCACAGTGGCGATCCCTACGCGGTCATTAATGCTAACGTGTGTATACTAAGTAGTGTAATGCATCAGGTCCTAAGCCAAACCATTATCTTTTCCATGCTTGTGAACCATCTGCATGCTTTTCAGGCAATTCTCACTCTGTACAAAGTAAAAAATTATAAAGCACTCAATTTTTTATCACCAGAAGATTTTTTGAAACGTACAAGTTACTAGAATGACTACATAATCATTTCAAAAACATGGAGAGAGAAATATCGGATATTGTAGTCGTTTCCCGTTCAACTTTAGAAGTGTTTGGATTTCAGCGGGCAGTACAATTTTCTTACTGACTGCTGAAAAAATGTACCAATTGTGGTTCAAGGCAATTTATCAAACAAACGGATAGCAAATTGATAATCCTGAAAATATAGAAACAGCAAGAACTGTGGCATGGGAATTTAACAGGTTGCAGACCTATGACACGACTATGCAGCGTAATGGGTGTGCCTAACAACTGCAATTCGTCTTGAACCATCTGAGAGTTCAGTAAAAATGGTAGAACCGAGCAACTATATGGTTCTCTGTCAGCATTATGATCAATGCATGGTCTACCGATGGCATAATTAAATGCAGTTTTAACTACTATAGGAGGACGTCATGCCGTGAACATAAGAAAAATCGAAAAATTGCAGCCGAATCGCCAAACATCATATAAGCTACCTGAAGGACCATTTAAACATTCTCGAATGAAATCAAGAAATCCGTTCTAGAGTGTTCATTGGCACTAAGATATACCGACGACAACTGGTGAACAAATAGAACAACAAGATCGTTTCACATAGGCATCCGAGATGATCATTCAAATGAAAAGCGCATGCTGCTGTCAATGAAGATATTCATCTTCATCTTCCATCGCCGCTTCTTCTTTCGGGTCGCGGAGGCAGACGTGTCAGACAGTGCTTCCAACGTTCCCGATCCTGTGCCAGTCTGAGCTTCGGCAAAAGACATATGCAGTCTGGAACAGACTCCTTCCGTATGTTTGCACCAGTTTAATCTTGGCCATCCCATGGGCCTTTTGCCGGTCGGATTTGCAACACATGCCCAAACCATCGCAGCTGTGACTTCTCAG